TACGCTCCTGTCTACCACAGAGTAAACCAGTCCATATTAGTCTACACATAGAAAGTTTCATTTCCCATCACCCTCTGTCTTGTGAAAGTGGTTTGGTCATAAAAAGCTGCCTCACAAAATACTGAAAAATTACAACATTTGTCAATTAACTTTCTCTTGTTTGGCCTGCATGAGCCAGAACTTGATACCGGGATTCAGAACACGAGAATGCATTTTTCTTGAAACATATTACTAGTTGTAGTATTAGCAGTTACCAGATGTGTGCTATCGTCATAACTGGTAAGATAATTCAAAATCATCCAATCAAATTTCTTCAGTTCGATCGTATGATGATGATCAAACGCAAAATTAAATCAACCCGAATTTTATGGTGCAATTGAAAGGCTGAACAACGCAAACACCTTTTTAACATCAACTTCTATTTCGTTTTGACCACGTGCATGTCCTAGCTAGCTATGCCAACGCAAGCCTTCACAGGTTTCCGCTACAAAAAGAACATCACGAAGCTTAGCTAGACTCTGTACAATCATGTACATGTACGTACATTCATTTCATTTAGTCTGTTTATACTTTGGTCTGTAAAATCGCATCTAGTGTAAATGCCTTCCTGTAAAACGCATGAAGGAAGACTGCAGATTTAGGTGTAAGCTTAAGTTTATGATTTTTCCTATTAAACTTAGTTCAAAATTCTACCTACCTTGTTTCCGAACGTTAGCTTCAGCTGACAAAGTATTTTTCAAGTTCAGTGCCACTGTCTCTGCCATCTTACTTTAGTGAAGCAGTAAAAAGAAACTACAAATCTCGGTGTTTGAAATCCAACTAAAACGATTTAGAATGGAAAAATTCAAGGAAAGATCGTTTCACAACTAGCAGCGTTTTCAAATCTTCACGAAATGCGCCATTGGATTTGCGCATGTCACATTTTCAACCTCACATGTTTCGTACCCAGTCTACTATCAGGACAAAAATAGCTTCCCGTTCATTTTTATTTCATTTGTTTTTTCCCAAATCTGTTATGTAAAAAATTGCAGCAGGTTCTGCTTTCCTTTTCATCTGTAAAAAGAACTACTATTGCTTCAGATTGTCCAGATAATTTGAAAAAGTACACCTCATTTAAATTTGAAAAAGTAAATCTCATTTGAATTTGAAAAATAAATCTCATTTTCCCAGATCTGTTTGAAAAAAATTGCGGCCGATTTTTCTTTCCTTTTCACCTACAAGACCTACTAATTCAGATTCCCCAGATAATTTGAAAAGTAAATCTCATGAAAATGGAGAAAAGTGCTTCGAGCAAATGATAAGAGGTACCATGTATACGCAAATGTTTGGAATTTCTTAGTTTAAAAATTATCGTGATAATGGTATCCAACCCCATTTTCATGGTCTTTTCCCTTACCTCAGCCTTGTGCATCAGTCCTCATTATTTTTATCTCAGGTGAAGATACTGGGTGGACTTTATTTATTTAATTTGCAAGTCTAAAATCATGGCCCCTTTGTTGATTGTCTCATAAAAAGAGCCAGCAGTCAAAAAAGGAGATCATTAGCTTAGCTGTGTTGGAATACCTTAATAGCATAGATTTTCCTAGTTTTATTTCTCCAATGTTTGCTTAGTTTAGTTCCACTGAGAAGACATATCAACCACTTGAGACGCAGCATTTTACCACATTTCCACACACATTGGACTCGGAGTTGTCAAAAATACTGCACTACTCTCTTCTAGGTGTTTGGAAATGCAGATAACATAGTCACTCATGTTCAGTTAATATTGTTTCTCTCATTAAATTAATTTAACTGAATGGGGTGTAACCCAAATACTAGAAACTAAAATGACCCACTACCACCCCCTAACAAATGTATACACACTTGAAAGGCTGGATTACAAAATACTTTTATTGTCTTAAAAGCAACATTACAGTGAAGAAACGTTTCTAATAATAATGACACATGTACAATATGAGTCTTGACTTTTTATCTAAACACTTGGTTTCTTCTTGTCCTGAGGCAATAAAGACCATTGAATGCTAAAATTTCTGTACCTGAAGAAGACAGTAAACAACAAATGTGTAAATAAAAAATACAGTAACTACAATACAAATCAATGATTTGCTCATGTACATTTTATGAAGAAGGCCTTAATTTCATTTGTCTCTAATGCAGAAGGCTAGGATCAGGGAATGAGGCAGTGTGCCAATAAAGGAGAAGAGAAAAGAAAGGAGAATTAGATGCTGATGGCTACTTGCAAATGAAAGGAAAAAACTTCTGATTACTCTGTCTTGTGAATCACTGTTAGATTATCACTGAGTTTAATAATCATTCAAAGAAATTTAGTTTACAAGTATGATTAATCTGACATAACTCCCTGCAACTAATTTACTATCAAAACTATGAAAGTTAATAATAACTACATGAAATCTGGAATCACTAATGTATCAAGTTCAAATTTTAGGGTTATCACTTTGATCTGACCAAAATACAAAGAACTGCACAACAAGGTCACTGCATTTTACAGCCCTTTAGGTAGTCATCATTTTCAGATAATCATTTTCTGTTTATAATGAATAACTAATAAATTGCCTTATCATCAGGTTTGAATAAGTAAGTTAAGTAGGTAACAGGAAGAAGTAGGTAAGTAGCATCTGTAATTGCATCGTACTGTAGGTAGTGTAAGTAGTGTAAGTAGTTGTATTACTGTTGTAAATAGTTATTACTGTTGAATTAGTAGTTGTATTACTGTTGTAAATTGGGTAAGTAGACATACTAGTTTTGTAAGTAGTGTGAATCACAAAAAAATCAGGTTTGAATGCTGCATGCACAATAAAATTCCTGTTGATTGTACTGCACTGGCCTACAACCTAGACTATTCTCACAAATGATTTAACCGTGAGCCATGGTATACTTACTAACTTAGTTATTTAAAGAGGGGTTACAAAGACTATGGAACGTCCCAGGTGGAATAGCTACATCACGCACCTATGAAAAACTTACATGTTAACATTGAATCAAATTACTCTTCTTTCCTCTTAGGATTATTGACTGCTACAAAGTGATACAGAACAACAAGAAGGAACAGCGACACTCCCAGAATGTTTGCAAAGGCTGCTAGTTGAATATCTGTGATCATGGCTGAAATCAATTAACGTAAACCATTAATACAACTGGGGAGGAAGGCCTGGTGAAATGGAATTGGGGTAAAATTATTTGTGGGGAAAAATGATTCATGAAAATGAAAACTTGTTGCTATCTTTGCTCTTGTGAAACTTATTCAACTTATTTAAATTTGTAGTACATTTCTAAATTAAACGTAATTCAGATCATAAGGGACGAAATTGTCACGATTGAAACAAGAACACGCTTATCAAGCTGAGCTAGGACCTCAGCTCTTTAAGCTTCAATACGTACACGAGCATGCGAAAGTAAACAATTGTGGATCACAGAAACTTCCGTTGAAGTTCAGTATACTATCTACGATGGTTTTATCCAGGCAGTAAGCTACAGGGAAGATTTAGAGAGCAAGAATATTCTATCATCCTATCAAAAGACAAATAATCGCTAAAAGAGGAGCGAATGTTGCAGACGAAGAGTACACGTGTAAAAGTTTTCGTGCAAGCCTAAGCAGAGAAACTTAACATTTGTAACACAAGACATATAAAGAGAACTAAAGTAGAGTAACTTACCTCTTTTAAGGGGAATTGATGGACTAAAGAGCTTCAAAATTGTCCTTTGTTCTTCAAATCAGACCTTCCAATTCCTGTTGGACACGAAAAAGGTCGAGAACTGCAATGTAGATTGGGACGAGGTTGTGTACCGCAGGGGGTTCTGGGGATTTTCTTTTCTTCAAACATGGCGACACCGGTACTGCAGAGAGTTCGGCAAATTATGCAGTCTTCACTCACATCGAAAGGATTTGACAGATTAGCAAAAACGGTAAAAGAAGGAAATATTTCATGTTATTTTCTGGCAACACGACAATAATTTTTTGGGGGGGAAGGTGCCAGCATCAAGTGCGTTCACCCCACACCCCCGGCCCAACCTGCTTGTAACTTTAATTTGAAACAATTTTTCACAAGGTAAACTTTACTCATTATTTCATAATTTTTAATTAATCGTTACTTGTACAGGTTGAGCTACTATCACTTCAAGAAGGCAAAGCTTCATTCAAAATGAAAGTGGATGAAAGTCATTTGAATGGGGTGGGCACTCTTCACGGTGGCATGACAGCATTCTTGGTTGATAATTTAACTACTGGCACGGTTCTCACTAAGCCACCTCATTTACCAGGTGTTAGCATTGATATGAGCATAAGGTAATGTGAGAGTTGTTTTGTTTCCAAGAGCTCAGGCCTAGGGGGGTACTCCCATATATAAAAAGGACTGGGTGCTCTTCAGAAATTTTGAAAAGAACCCCTAAGAGGTACCATGCTTTGTGGGCTCAGCTTGAATTTTTTTTTTTTCACCCCTTAGAGGTGTAGTCCCTTTCACAGCGTAACGATTTTTTGAAACACAGTTTCTGCTAAAGTGGGGCACATTTGTGGAATAGCCTTCCATCTAACGTCAGAACCATTAGATCTGTTATCAACTTTAAAAATGTGATTAATCACCAACCTCGTACTCCCACACAGCAAACATGTAAATAAGTTTTTTAAAAAAGAAATCTTACAAGTAACTGACTGCATTTAAATAAAGTGTGTATGTATGTATTAGGGTTGTTTTGCAACGCTTC